AACACACGCGCACACACACACACACACACACACACACACATACACACACACACACACACACACATCACTGTGCCACCTGGTATTGTCCTTTTGTCATCAGAGGATATATATATATATATGAGAGAGAGAGATTATATAGTGCATATATGAGTTTTCTAATGCATAATCTATAATCAAAATATTGCGGCAGTCACTATTATGAGGTAAATATAAACAAACAAATAAATAAATCCATTCATACATCGGGCAAAGGACTGTCTGAAATGCGTCTGGTGTAATTTTGAAGCGTTTCTTGTTCACTTTTATGTGGGCTGCATGAACTAGTCAATTGCCATCAGGCAGCGGTGTGCTAACGTCTTCGTTGGAGGGCCGCGTCAAGAAAAATGGAAGGATGAAAGGGCCACTTTTAAATTCTTCAACTTTTTGAAACACGCTAAAGTCAGTCAAAAGAGCACTTATTTATGGTTTGTATTGTCTCTTTCATCGTTCATTTCATCATCTTTCTGTGAAAGGTGTCAAGGAAAATAGTTGAGGATTTTGGGGTGGCCAATAGCCCTCAATCTCGCAGAGTCGATGCAGCTCTGCACTTGACAGCATCGGAATCTCCACATTCCGAACCCCAAAAAGAAGAAAGTGTAGTCAGGTGATCATTTTTCAAACATCATTCATGTGATGTCTTCATAAATCAGCACAAAGTGGGTGAAACTATTTTTGCCTCCAAAACACAATGATCTATATTCACTCCAGTGTTTTGAAGACAAATGGTGTTCTTGTCATCATTTATTTGTATCTTCAAATATCGAGAAAAGTTCTACCGTACGCCCTCGCTTCTCTGCCCACCTTCACCTTTAACTAAGCTTGCGGCCCATGTCAAATTTTTAGTTTTTTTTTTTTGTCATGTTGCAGGCCACTGAAAAATGGACGACGGGCCGCAAATTGCTCCCGGGCCGTAGTTTGGGGACCACTGCCAGAAGCTATCATTACAACCAGTTCCATGTTGACCCACTTCCACTTGTTCTTCTTCTTATTATTAGTAATATTATTATTACTAGTAGGAGTCGAAGTGTCGGAGCACGCTTCTGTTTTGCTGGGAAAGCGGCGCACAGCCGAGGGAGCAAAGTGCCATCGCCTTGCGTTGCGGTAGAGCGCGCCGTTCCCGTTTGAGAAGCGGAAGGAGCCAGCCAAGAGGAGGGAGGAGGACAGTCGGAAGAGGGAGGAGGAGAGGGGCGGATGAAGGAGGGGAGGGGGGGGAGTCGGAGGGAGGGCCCCCGCCAGAGGTGCCTGCTCTCTCTGCATACGGAGCCCTCGTGATCAGCATTCATTGATTTTAAAGAACACCACCAAGTGGCACACTGCAGAGATAACAGGGCTCCAACATTTTTCAAGAGACATTTTGGGAGTCCTTTCCACACGGTATGCAAAACTGTTGTGCCGGGGGAACCGAATGATGACAAACGTCTGGAAACGCAAGTGATGAACAAAAGTCTTTCAGGGTACAAGGCATGAAAAGTCAACAATCAGGCAATTAGATTCCGCGTTGACTAAAAATTCGATGTGACATTTTGTAGTTTTGTTTTTTTATTTTCTTTAAGGAAAAAAACATTTCCAAACTGTATACACAATGTTTGCTCCTATCTCCCATCTATGAGCGTTAACTCTCCCCCCCCCACCCCCGAGCTTTTATGATGATCATCATGTGACCCAAGTGTGGAGAAATCAACAAAGTGTTTGTAATCCATTGCGGAGGACGACTTTTTTTAAAGGTCAAAAAACACCCATGCTCAACTGTGGCATAGGAAACATACAGTATGTGTGTGTGTGTTTTTTTGGTTGTCACTGATGCTGAATTTGCGGTGTTCTTCTTTGGGTCAGTCATGATGAAAACGCCGTGGACTCATGAAACTCGGACCTTCTTTCATCAGTGGCCAAACATTCACACACATGCCGGCGCAGTGAGAACTCTCTTAAAGTGTCTTTTCCTCATTTCGTAGCCTTTTGAAATAATCGGATTGATGTGATTTTCGCTCGACCCGTATGCTGCTTTGCTAGCTACGCTGTGTCATAAGTGGTTCAAAGATATCTACGTTGTTTGGTTTTTTTTTAACATGTTTTCAGTTGTTGTTGTTGAAAAGTTAGTTGATGAAATGACTCATTTTGATCGCGCGTGGTCCTGTTGAACATTTTGCGCATGTCGCTGGAATCGCTTTCCACCCTGTCATGATGCGGTTGCTGTGCCTTTAAGAAATCCTTCGACATTTTCAGTGACATTATGAATTTTTCTCCTCGATGTGAACGGAAACAACTTGCTGACTGACTCGCGTCGCTAAGTGGAGGTCAACCATGTGCTCGTACAATGCTAACACAAAACTTGAAAAGTCCACCCTGTCGTTGGCCACCCTGTTGGCAAGCTTTCAATTGGCTGCCGATTGCGTTTCAGTTGTGTGCATTTTAAAAAAGAAAACTGCGGGAATTTGACCACTAAGCAATGTTAGCGGCATCTACAGAATCCAACGGAGGTCAATGAAAAATCGAAATTTTTGGTGGTGGGGCGCAATGGGACAATCTCAAAGGCACCTTCCACTTTTTATGAACACATTCGTTTGTTTGAGATGATGTCATTTTTTTAGTACATAATCAGTAACAAGAAGCTTGTTTTCACGATTGACTTGGCGCCCCCGGTGTGTCCAAATTATGGCTCAGGGGCCATTTGTGGGCCACCACCCATTTGTCAGTGGCCCGCAACATGACAAAAAATATGTATCCTAAAAATGACATTGGACGTGGGCTACAAGATTAGTTAAAAAAGGTGAAGGTGGGCAGAGTGAGCAGGGAAGGTGTCAGAAAAATAGCTGGCCTTACTACTAATACATTTGTTTATATACTGTCAAACTTTTCTCTATAAGAGAAGGTTTCAAGAAACAGTTTGCTCTTTTTCGCGTTGTGAATGTGGAGATGAGATTCGGTTGCGTCAACACCTTTAACAGAAGGCCAATGAAATGAACTAGACAATACAAACAGCATATAAATCCTTTCTTGACCAGCTTTAGCATGTTTCAAAAAGTTGAAGGAGTTTCAAGTTCATCCTTCCATCCGAGAGCAAGCAAACTAACTACCTTCTATCCCCTTTCAACAAGTCATAAACCTGAAAACAATCGCGATCATCTTCTGAATATTTATGACACTGCTGATGTCTATGTGTAACAAAACAGGCCTCACAATCACAATGGAGATTTATTTTTTATTATTAGATTATACTTTTTTTTTTTTTTTTACAAATACTTTCTGCAACAGTTTTACCCGGCAATATACAATTTTCAAGCACAAAAATACAAGAATAGCAACAAAATATGCAGAGAATGGCAGAATACTCTCCTTTATTTTGGTACACATAGTGCTCATAAAGCTAACGCATGGATTTTCAGGTTATGGCTAAATAATGACTTTGCCTTTTTTAAAACAAAAGGACAAACATTATTCCTTGACAAAAACAGAGTAGAACTCACAAAACCAAGACAATTTGGAATCGTTTTGAATATTTGACCTTGAATGCTTCAAATCGCTAAAGATACATGTCAAACTCCCAGTGAAACTGTTGGCTGTCAGGATTTGATGTGTTGGCACTGAATCACAGTCTTTCAAAAAAAAAGTGTGAGAGAACAGTTGACATTCAGTCACTTTCCTTAAACTTGCCATTTCTTTTTTGACAATAGCTAGCAAGAGTGTGCGTTTGTTTTGTTTTTTTAAGGCAACAGAAGTCAATCCACCATCAAACTCATCCACGTGCACGTTCATGAACGCCTGCGTGTTAAGCCGTTTGTGACATGACTCCTAGACATTTCTCAGTGTTTAAATAGGTCTTTCCTGCAAAATAAAAAAAAAAATCATTCTCACTGCGACCTCGTAGGGGAAACTGGGCTCAATTGCTGCCGATCAGGAAAAAAAATGCGAGTGACGTCATTCAGTAGGGACTAATGAGGAAAATGAGGTATCAATTCTTCATCCCTTCATATTGAACACACTGCGGGTCTTGTGCTTGTTCATAGCCGTGGTTCAGATGGATCCACATTTGGAGCCGGCTGCCACTTTGACCCAACTGTGCACCTCCTGTTGACTAACGTGCGGCGGGCGCAGTGCACGTGTTCTGTGACTACGCGCGTCACGTATTGCGAGAAGCACATCCTCGGCCACTGACTCACAAGTACGCGCAAGGCCACTTGGCCCGACGCGTTACGTTATCGTGCGGTTCCGTTAAGTTGTACAACATTGACGGTTTCCTGCCGATTGACCTGTTGAAGGGTTCAGGTGACTTCCATCGTCGGAATGATGTCAGTCACCATTCGCCCAAGCCTGTCCTTTTAAAATGTCTCCATCTACAGAACATTTGTAGAACCACCCTGCGCCACCCTTTTTTTTTTGTCACCACAACTCCTTTGGGAAGATCACCCCGCTCACATTCGGGACCTTTCAATGTGGTCAAATAAATAAGCGATAGCAATATTTCCCCCCAACCGGTGACGCGCGGGGAACGCGATACGGTTGAGCCAAGATCCCCCGCGCCTTAAATAAAGTTTTGGATTCAAAATGCCACGATGGTTCGAGTCCACGCTCCCAGACTGGCCAGCGCCTGTTTGCTACAGATCTGCTCCAAGTCCGCCTGCCTGCTGAGCAGCCCCGTAAAGCCCGAGCCGAAGATGGAGATCAGGTTGGAGATGTTGGAAGTGTCCGCGTAGTCCGGGTTACAGTTCGCGTACTCCTCGCGTTTCGGCCGTTTGCGCGAGAGGGCAAAATCCGACACCTCGTCCACGTCGCACAAGCAGCATCCAAAGTCAACCTTTCGTTTCTTGCCGGGGGGCTGCGCGCCCTGACCCGCTTGGAGCGCGTCGCAGCAGCAGTCCTGGTGGAGGTAACCGTTTTCCACCGTGGTCACCACATGCGTGTCCAAGTCCAGCACGGTGGTTTTGTTGCAGTGCGCGTTGTTGTTTGCGGGGAACGGCTCGCAGCGGGACACGTCGGAGACCTCCATGCAGCAGCTTCTGTAGTAGCAGGGCTCGGGGTCTTTGCAAGCGTCCCCCGGAGAGGCGCAGCCGGAGAGCGCGCTCGCCGGGCGGCCGGGGAGAGCGGCTTCCTCGCCGCAGAACGCGGCCCGCGCCCGCTCCTCGTTCTCGGCGTCCTCCGCGTCCGCGTCCAACGGGTTGAGCTCCTGGATCTCGTCGCAGACCGTCATCACCTCCTCGTATTGCTGCATCCGGTAAATCTCCGCGTATTTCTCCTTGATGTAAAGCTGCCTGGCGTTTCTCAGCACGTAGGAGACCAGCAGGTTTTTGTGCAGCTTGATGCCGCCTCGCTGAGTCCTGGAGTTGTGGATCTTCATGAGGGAAATGGAAATCAAGCTCTGCGCGTCAACGTCGCACTCCACGGTGTTGATCATGATTGGGTTCCTTTCGGCCAACTCCGACTTTCAACTATCTCGGGAAGGTTCTTTTCGACTGAGGAGAACGCTTCGAGTCAGCTCTGTGAAGAAACATCGGGAGCGAGGACCCTCCTCTGAGCGCAAGCTTAGCAATCATTTGCAGATGCTGTGAAACCACAAGATATATATAAATATATCGTGAGGGAGAGGGAGAGAGCGAGAGAGAGAGAGAGAAGAGCGAGGCACGCTTCGCCCCACCCCTCCCGCTCGGCGAGCCAATCAGAAGCCCGGAGTTTGTTGAGTGACGTGACTCCATGCTGGAACTATGTCGCTCCCGACCAATCGGCTTCTGGCGGTTCCTCTGTGCCATTCAAATTCCACTCAGGCTGTCGAACAGGAATGTCCTCATTTCAGCAGCCCCGTAACTGAAACTTCCAAGAAGCGGTCCACTTCCTCGTCGTTGGATATGTATGAACCGGCTGTTCCGGGTAGACATGTTGCAGTAAATCCAACCGCGACGCAAGTGAATGTCAACCGAGCACAGCAACAGTTAAAGTCGACCTTGCCACCGACGTGGAGGTGAGCAGAATTTGAAAACATTGACGTGTAGATACAGTCACAAGCGAAAACTAGTACGGCTTCAGTCGTCGTATTTACATTCATTAATTACATTCATATTTACACATATTAACTTGGAAGACTATTTGAATTTGTGTATTTTATTAAAAATTCACTCAAAACTGTGTTTTATTTACTTCCCGTGACACCCTCTGACCTCTGCTCACATGGACACCCAAACTGGCGAGAAGATAGACCAACATGGACTTTTGAGGTGGTTACTTTCTACTTTACTTGCCTGATAGTTGCTTGATAGAGAAATCCATAAAAAAATGTGCACTCTTTGACTTGAGTGTAGGAGAAGTACAAAATGTGATTAATTGCAGAAATGTGCAATTACTCAAAAAATGCAATCGCTTGACGGCACAACTATGATATATATATAATACAAAGTAGCAACTACAGTCATGCAGTTGTGCAGAATAAAACATATTTTGGCTCTCTCGTCCAGCTCAATACGATATTTGCACCCGCCCCTTATTAAGTAGTTTAGTTTACCACAGCAATCCACCATTTGTGTTGCTCACTTAGCACCTCATAAAAATCTTTGGCGTCATTAATTTGTGACTCCTGCAATTGGCCCGCCGGCCAATCCAGGGTGTTTTGTGCCTCTCATCCATCCATTTTCTAGACTGCTTATCCTCATTAGGGTGATCTGGGGCTATGCAAGATGACTGCAGGCAAGAGATGGGGCCAACCCTGGATTGGTCGCCATCAAATCGCAGAGCTAGAATTCAACAGCATAGAACAATGGATACAGATTTCTTTCTTTACTTCTTTTTCTTTGTGATGAAGGGATATATAAATACATTTGACTTGACTTCAGGCCACCCCATCTGGAATGTGATGCAGACGCCAAGCACGGGGGTGCCCCATCTGGCCACTAGATGGTGGCTTGTCGGGGAGGAGACATACTGCAGAGCTCCAGTCAAGATTTCGCCTCTTTCGTGCTTGATGTCGAATTCGGGGCAAACACTATTATTCCGGCAATCGGGCTTAGCGCCTTCATGTCATCATCGTAATAGCCTGCTTCTAAACACAAGGTGTATTTTATTTGCTGAAAATCTCTTGAATATTGAATGTCGACATCTTTTACAGAATCTGTGACGATTGTGGATCTCATAAAATACAGACACTTTTGGAATCATTCTAATATGTGGCTTTGTTTTACAGTGCGATGACCCCCATTGTCATCACTACACAATAACTCCACATGACTGAACAGAAACAAGGTCCTCTCACACGCATGCCAGACGCTCATACTGGCGCCCTAATAACCTCCCCAACTTATTATTATTACTCTTTTTTTAATCATTTGTATTCTTTTGAAACACAACACATTTGTCATACCACAAAAGCATATCGTAGACTCTCAGGACCGCAAGGAAAAACGAACCGACTTTCCATCCTTACCAGTTACCCATGCAAATTGCTTTTCATGTCAATCAACAGATTTGGCCGATAAAATGGCGTCAGGGGTACAATCATTGACCACCACACGCGAATCTGTATTTGTCAATGAGATACTATTGAGAAACACACGTCAAAGCGCGAAATTGGAGCGCAGAAGAGACGCCGCACTCGATTGGGCAATCCGCTCAGTCGCTCCGGAGCCCGAAAGCAGCATTGCAGTGGCCTCTACAGATCAATCATAGGTTGAAATGTTTGCCAAATGAGTGCAATAACCCGCGTTGAACCTGTAGAGGCCAGTACAGCTCTAGTTTTCCTGGCGTGTGATTAGTATTTTGTGAAGGTTCCGAAATTCTCCCCTTGAGGAGAAAGTGACTTCATCCCCTGCAGAGCCCGCCCCAACATTTATTTTCAGACAGGATGAAGTGTGGCAGCTCCATGAGCAACTTTGACTGCGAGCCACCTGACACTCGTGTTGTCACTGCATGATGAAGATCTGATGCAGGTTGGAACTGGTGGGTTTTTTTTTTTTTAGGGGGGGGGTATGAGTTTGTAACTTGCCGGATGAAATGGCTTTTCCTTTACTTTTCATGAAGATCTCCCCTCACGAGATGGAGGCTCTCGAAGCTGAACAAGGGCCAATAACCCGCGAGCCGTGAGCAAACGGACTCAATCAGCGGTGGCAGAAATGTGTGCGACTCGAACCAATCGGAGTTGCCACTTCGAACATTGTTTAGCAAGTTGAAATAAACTGAATCCGCCAATAAATGAAAGCAGAAGTAGTAAAGAGAAAATAATCGGAACCAATTGACCAAAAGTACACAGCGAAACGTACAGTGGATGGGCAGCCGTGACTTTCGAAGATGAAGCTGTTTTGACAAGAGAAGTTCCTCCCCTGGCGCTACCGCCAGAGCGACGCGGGAGGAAGAAGCTGTTGTGCGTGCTATGTCGTCAGAAACAAGGCAATACAAGAAAGTTGTTGAATCATCTGAACAAGTAACACCCGAGTGAATCTTCTACACAATAGTTTTGTTGAGTGTGCTGTCACTTGAACGTAAAATCCCGATATGTGTAATGTACGCAATGCCAATGTTTGCGTCGTATGGCGGCGGGCCGGCTCCTTCTTGTGACATACCCGGAAGTGGGTCAGTGTCTACGATTAGTTGGATAGCCAGCTAATGATTGGTTTTTGGTTTTCTGCCTGTCTCTCTCTCTCTCTCTCTCTCTCACTTTTTCAAGCACGGCTGCGAGCCAACTTCAGCCCAGGAGAAAGCGTCTCCCCAGTTCGTTAGCTCGCATAGCTATAGGATCCAGCTGGTCCGTCCTCAACATATAATGACTACTATTAGCGCTGCACCGATGAGATAAAAGAGGAGTTGAAATGTCCCGATGAACAGCACATCCGTCTGTCTTATACCGCCCTCAGGCGGTCGAGGCTGGCACACCAGAAGGAGCTTCCCATCTGCCTGATACGGCGTACGATATCACAGAGTCCCGTTTTCCGTCATTTAAATATGCGTGCCGATCATTTTTGTTCTTCGCCTGGCCATGTTTTCCTTCTCCTCCTACAGCCACGGTCTTTTTCTATTTTCAGTCTTGCCGTGTTGCATCTGCACCGCCCTCCTCTCCCCCTCACCCACCTCGTCCATTTGTGTTCTCCCCTCATCGCTTCAGCCTCACTGCTCAATTGTTCACCACTCCCCCGCTCTTAGTTTCAGCCCTCTGTCTCTCCCTAAGCATGTTTATCTCTCTTATGTGTCTCAGCGTTGTGGGGGGGGGGGGAGGAGGGGCATTTGCAGGTGTCAGCAAAGCACAGGTTGATTTCTTCTTTCATCTCCTATCTTTTCCTCCTTATTAAGGCCCGATTGCCATTCTTGGTTCGCTATCGCCAAACAACGAGCGCCTCTTTTTTTTTCTTCCTCCCTCACCCTTTCTTTATGTGTTATTGATTTCAGAATTTCAAGTATTCCATGAATCAACACCCAATTACTGCACTTGAATCCACCTGCCTCACTCGTACTTGCGCTGCGGTTTGTATACAAAATAGATGCCGGCTCCAGTGTTTACTGCGCGGCTCCTGTCAACAGCCAAGACTAACGACACAAATTTAAAGGACACACATTCAGCTATGTCGCGGAGTTGACGCCAACAGAGAGTGGATGAAAGGAGAGAGAGAGTAAAACAAGTCGGAATCGATAACTTTAGATTGCGGTAGCCTAGAAATATTTGTGCGGGTCATTTTCCGGAATAAATAAAGTACAAAATGAGGCTATGTTGAAATTTTGCTAGCAGCTTGAAAACGGCAAACTCCACCTTCAGTTGCAAAGGATTTGGCAAATACCCAAACGACAGCTCTGAGACCCCGTTTAAGAACCACTCACTGCTCACAGTGACTTCAAGTAAATCATACTTTGAAATAAAATGACGCGGGGGGGGGGCAACAAAACAAAATGCTTCTTTGGTGTGCAATAGTGTTCCTAAAACTGCTCACTCCACAATACCCGTTCCAAGCACGGACTCCCAAATCCTGATTCCTTCTCTCTCTTGCCTTGTGCTGTCCAAAAAAAAGAATTTGTGGAAAGACTCAAGTCATCGCTTTCCGACGTGCCGCCGTCGCGCTTGCAACCGCTCGCTCGTACCGCCCACCGGCGAGCACATACACCAACGCGCAGAAGAGCCCTCGTCGCTCTCTGCGGCGACGCGCAGAGAGATGTTTTTCCAAATGAAAACAGCACTTGCAAAACGAAAAGCACGCTGCGCATTTTCATTGACTTTGATCTTATTTATTTGGGGTTTGCACTGCGTTGTTTGATGAAAGCTTCGTCCACACTGTACGTTTGAACCCATTTTCATGGCATTGGCATGCTGGAAAACCTTCTCTCTCGCGCATCAACATGACACAGCGCGTCTTTCCACAATATGGTTTCCGACATGGCAGTATTTTTTCATTTTATTTATTTATTGTTAATTTTTTTTTAGGGGGGGGGGGGCAACACGAATCACTGAAGCCGCAAAACTTGAAGGGCAAAACGGCAAGGGATCACCGTACTATCGTAATCGCAGGCGTATAATCTGTCTTCTGCCGGAACAAAGGATATGAGGGACCGTTTCTGCCTGTTCTTCTCGCTTTGAATTGGGTCGTGTCTCTTCCCGTAGACGCCCGGTGCGACCCAACATGTTGCCTGCGTCCTGTCAAAA